TATCAACAAACATTCGAGCTGTACGCTCCCACGATCACGCCCGTCGAATCTCGGAGTGCAATACACTAGGATGCTATGTAAGCATGCGCACGCCTTTCAGAACTGAATGATTGAAGAGAAAGTACGGTGTAGTCTACTCATGAACTGCACGTGTTCTCACCCGGTCTCTCCCTGTGCGAGATCTCGACGAATTGCATACTCTAGTGCGATAGAGCCGGATCTCAAGGTAAGCATGAAGAGATGACACCAAGTTCGAACAGCGGGCAGCACCTGTGAGCGCCTCTCTTCATGTGGCACACGGCGAAGGAGGAAATTAAGTATGGCGCGCGCTCTGACGTCATACGTGCGTTGGTCTCTATCAACAATAGATGCGGCACTCGCCGCCATGTTTCACTTGTAGCACACAGCAGGGCAGAGAAGCAGGCGAGGTGGAAGCAACGGTTCGTTGGGACTTGTGTGTGTGATGTGGATAGGGTAGGGTAGGGTAAGTTGAGGCTGCAGGGCGAGGTGGTTGGTTGTGTGATTAGACTTTGAAATCTGCCTGGGTACTGCTCTCCCGTTCTCAAAAGAGACAGGCAGCCGTTTCGGGAAATGGGTATGAAATCGACTGAAATATTGTGACGTGGGATATTGTGCCAATTTCAACGCTTTCGTGGAGAAACGGAAAAAGTTTATCGCATCGGCGACAAGGTTGGTAGTCAGTAAGGGACGTGCGCGGGGCTTGGCGGGTGCATCTGCGCTATTGCAGATAGTTGTGGGAGCATCTACATATATGATGACGAAGAAAGATAAGCAGTTGTGGGGGAATCTGCGGGAATTACACCTCTGTTTGGTACTATGAGGAAAAAGTTGTGCTCGCCCCGAGTTTTTGAACGACTACCGTATGGTGTTCACTGCTGGGTGACAAGCGAGCCACAAGTCATCGTAGGTCAAAGTCGTAGTTATTCTCGAGTACACTGAGTTGACAAAAGGATGATGACCTAACAAGGGACAAAGTGATATGCCGTTGTGGTTATAATCGGTGTGTGACCTTCGTTGGGTAAACAGGACGTGATAAATCGTAGTGACGGCATGGATGATACTGAATGAAGAGGAGGAGACAAATTCAGCAATGAGATGAACAAAAACCGCAGCATGCAGATGCGAGTTGCAACGGGAAGGATTGTTAATTGAAACTTTTTGTTAGTGTTGAGTATGAGGCTGGGAGGTGTTTACGATTGCGGGTGCTGCGGGAAGGATGCCGGGAAGGACTTTTTTTTTTTGGGGGGGGGGGGGGGGGGGGGGGGGACGTATTTCTTCTTGCAACTAGGAGGAGGTGGCGGTCCAGGGCGGTCG